GTGAGCGAGCCCCGCTGGCACCGGGACCCCTAGGGACAGCGGCTGCCCCCTCTCCGGAACCTGGCTGTGCGCGTCTCTTCTCCATCCCCTCACGGTCCTTCCCCAGCCCTGCGCCCCTCTCCGTGCCCGGCGGCACCGGCAGAGCTGCACGATCCTTTCCCGGTCCTGTCGCCGTTCCGTGCTGCTCATTCCTCTTCGGGACCTCGCTGTCCCCAGTCCTCGGTCCGTGCTGCCCTCTCCTCTCCGGGACCCGCCAGTCCACATTCCTAGGTCCGCGCTGCCCGCTCCTATCCCGATCCCCGGTCCTTGTTCCTCTCCGGGCTCCCTGTCCCCGGTCCGCGCTGCCTGCTCCTCCCGGGACCCCGCGGTCCCCGGCCGCTCCTGCCGCGCCTGGGGCCGTGTCACCTGAGCTCCCTCCCGTCCTTCTCCCCAGGTCTACTCTGCGCTCCAGTGGATCCAGTTCACCATGGCCATGCTCAGGTACGACATGCTGCCCATGGAGTTACTGTCGCGAAGAAGATTTTACCCAGAAAAGCAAAAAAAAAAGAGAACTCGCGTCTCCCAGCGAGGCAGACGCGCTCCTGTTCCAACCTGTGCTTTCTTTTCTCAGCGTTATAGGTTCCAGCTCAATTATTGCCTATGCCGTCTTCCAAAACGCAGTGCGGTCCCCCGAGGTAAGGCCTAAGCTTCCTTCTCCCTCCCTAAGCCGTGGTGTGGGTCACACCTGTAAGACAGACCCTGTCCTAGGAGCCAGCTGTAGGTCTCAGGGTCATGTGGTTAAACCTTGTTTAGTAGCTGGGAGGCAAAGAGCTTGCTAAGAATTGGGCTCTTTGTCTTGGTAGGAGGTGAAAGGACTGACCTTGAACGTGTGCTTCTGCGGGGAGAAGCAGGTTCCTTAGTCCCGTGCTTACTTCTGCTCCAGGAAAGTCCTCCAGTTGTTCCTGGGAGCAGGGATTTCTTAGCGTGCCCTCCTCAATGGGGCTGAACTCCTGGGGGCCTGAGTTGTGCACAAAGTTGCTGAAGTGCAAATTGGAGCTGCCCCTGCAAAAATGCTTTTACAGGTGTTGGTCTCTGACTGTCTCTGAGGAGTTTCTCTGGGCAGGTGTGCTACTAAAACTGACCCCACAGCCCTCCATCCCATCCTGCCAGGTTTGGATGTCCACACACAGTCCCTCTGTGTGCCCAAGACTTCCTGGGGACAGTGAACCAAGCTGATCCCTGTGAAGCTGGGATTTGCTGTCCAGGTTTTGAGGGCTCAGCCTGGCCTGTGGACCACACAGAAAGTCAGTGAAGCTGGCAACAGCTGTATTTATCCTTCCTTTGCCTTCATGTCCTTTGGTGGGTTTGATCTGCAGTCCAGAGAATGGAACTTCCAGGGAATTAATGGAGCTAACCCTGGAGAAGCAAGGAGTGCAGGCAACTGACACATTGTTGGGTGACACGGTGGGAAGGAGAATATGAGTCCATGGTTGCAGGGCAAATCTGTCCCACTTACAACAGGCAGGACCTTGCTCCCAGCCAACCTCCTGGAAAAGCTCTGCCAAGCACATCCAGAATAAACTGTGGAGATCTCCATGCATTCCCAGGGAAAAACGAAGGCTGGAACTTTAATGCTGGGATGGAAAACTTGCTTGAGCTTTTGCTGCTCAAGGTGCACATCAAATCCTCCTGCTACCACATCTGCACCTGGAAAGCTCCAAATGGGATTCCTTCCTGGGGTCCTCCCCTCTAGAATGGTGTGGAGCTGGGGTTGGCAGTGTCCTGGTGTGACTCAGCAGCCTCATCCCGTTGGCTTCAGTGGCTGACTTACTCAGGAGCCCTTCTGCTCTCCGTCATGTGATGGGGCTGTGGCTTGGGAACTGCTCCTGAGCCACACACGGCTCCAGGTCAACTGTGGGCCCTTCCTGCTCCAGAGGGTCCAGATGTTTCTGCTCAGATTATTTCTGCAAATCTGTATAGGAGGGCTGGATGCCAGCTGGAGGGACTGGTTTCTATCAGCCTTCCAGGCTCTTCTGCTGTCAGGGAAGGTTTGGTGCTGGGTTTCAAAAGTGACAAAATCTCCATTAACTTCCCCATCGTCTTGTCCTCATGTCTCGGGTCTGAAGTGGAAGTTTGTAAACAAAGGGGCTGGAAGAGATCCATATCAAAGCTTGCCACAAACAGCTTATTCCCTGAGTCATGAGGACCCACAGCAAAACATTTAAAAATAAACATCTCTGGAGGCTGGGAGAAGAAGGATCTTAAACACTTCCCTTCCTGCCCCTCAACCTCAGAAGTCAAATACTTTATTCTTGAAGCTTGTTTTCTGTCTCTACTGGGTCAGTACAACCCTCCAGCATGAGGTAAATCATTCAGAAGAGATGATGGCAAGCAAGGAAGAGCCCCCAGCTTAACAGGTTTGAGGAAGAACCTTCAGCTCAGCATGTGCCTGGGCCGTGGCCACAGAGCCAAATCCCTGTGTGTGCTGCAGCTGGAGCTGCCAGGATGTAAATCATTACATCTTTGCAGTCCCTTCCTCTATTTTATAAATACCAGTGGTTATTTTCTTTCCCCTTTTGCAAACCAGAGCCACACTAGCCTGTGTGTCACCTACTTCGTAATTCAGGTCTCTGCCAGAACAGCTCCTGGACCCACCAGCAGTGCCTTGCTCCAAGGGCACTTGTGCTGGAGAAAGAGGTCACCTGTTTGATTGCAAAAGTGGCCTCTTTGCTTATTTTAGAGCTGTTTGGTTTAACCTGCCTTTATCACAAACTGGACAGTGCCCCCAGCCTGTCGTGCCAGGGCTTCATTTCTGCACCAGCAAGGAAAAGCCTGGTTAAAATAAGGCATTTCTAGATGGAATCAAATTAAAATTAACTCCAGATCTTTGTGCTTTGTGCTCCTTCATGCCCTAAGGACAAATCTGGCTCAATCAGATCTACTTTAATTCTTAGTCAGCTCTCTCTCATTGAACATGGGAACAGGTATAACACAATGTGATGGGTGGCATACATTTACTTCAGGACAATATTGAGGCAAATCCCCAAAAGGAAATAATTAATTCCAGATAGCATCATTTCTCTCAAAAAGCTCAACTCCATGAAAAGAAATACAAAAACAAAGCCTCCTGAAGCATTTCCGTGCTGTGTTTAGCATTGTAATTTTCTGTAGGGGAAGAAAAACAAATACCATAATTTTCTTTCTTGGATGCTGAAAATGTGGTACTAAAGGCTTCAATTAAGAATGTAGGTAATTAGGCTGCTTTTCCAGAGTCTCTGCTCTCCCACTAACAAGGAAAATGTTGGCCAGAATTTTCCACAAATGTTTTCCTGCCATGTTTACAGTCCTGGCTAGTGTGTGCAAACTGAAAATGGGCTGGAAACTGCTGTTAAAGGAGACATGATTCATTTCCAGCAAGATGCAGCAGAGACTAACAGCTCTCAGTGGAAATTAATCTGGCTTGTAAAATAAACCCAATCTTACATCAGCTGAAATGACATGGAACACACAGAAAAATGTTTGTTTCAAGTCATTCCAGACCCGAGGAAGGGTTTGTTTTTACCAGAAGTTTTATTTCTATATGAGTTTATTTAAAACATGATGTCTCTCCTCCCTGCCAACCCGTCCTATTCAGCAAAACTGTAACATGATGTATATTTAGGATGTTTTCTGTAAGTTTTGATGCTGCTCTTGGATCCTGTGGCAGAAGTGGTGGTTGGAGTAGGGAATGTGCATTTGAACAGCTCCTGAGAGCACAAATACATGTGGAATTTCCCTGCAAGGAGAGTTGACTCATCAGAAGAGCTGGGGGCTGACAGTGTTCAGATAACACCAAATAACCTGGTACTGATGTCTGAGCACAGTTCATCTTTCTGCTGTAATTGGTGTAGTAATTTTAAAGGACTGAAGACAAGGATGATATTCAGGAGTAAAGGTTGAAATGTTTTCATATGTTAACTTTTCTTTGAGCTCACTTGGCTGTCAAGGTAGAGGAGACTTTTTATTGAAGCTGTCAGGGTTTGCTGCAGATGAACTGACTGGTCTCAGAAACATTGTCACAGTGCTTTCCTGAGGGTAAAATCATCCCTCCACAAAGTGCCACTTATGCCCCACTTCCCCTCAATTAAGGCTTTCAAAATAACTTTGCAGTGAGACACTTATCTACTGGAAAGCTTCCCTCACCTACAGGAAACCCTTTGGAAGGCTGTATTAAATATTAAATGTCTGATAACGGGGTAAAACTGCAGCTGGGGGTGGGAGGGCTGTGATTCCACTCACAGCTGCTGAGCCTTTTCCCTTTTCCAGGTGCGTCCGCTTTTCTACCTGAGCCTCTCGGATCTGTTCCTGGGCATGTGCTGGCTGGCTGGGGCTCTGCTCTACAGCTCACCCACCTCCCAGCAAGACCTCATCTGCTACAACCTGCAGGCCACGGGACAGGTGAGTGGCCTTGGCACCACATTTCATAATTAACTTTGTAATTTGTCATAATTAACCTTGCTGGTGATCAGAGTGTGACTGTGGGGGCTGTTTCTAGACAGGCTTTAGCAGATCTCTTGGCTTTGTGTGGAAAAGGGAGATAATGACACTGGGGTTTAGGATCCTCCAATGTGTGACAGGAAATGAAAAGGTGGGATTTTGTGGTTGCTTGTGAGAAACGAGCAGTGGGACTCGATCTCTTTCCTGTTGGATCCATGCCCATGGATCTCTGTGCTCTCACATGGCAGCTTTTCTATTCCTCTTTGTGCTTCCTCCAGCCTGGGCAGGAACAGACACATTCTGTGTCCTGCTTGAGCTCAGACTTAAATTACTCACATGAACATCTGAATTCTTTCTCTTCCTAAGGATCCTCCATCAGCACAAGCTCAGCCTGTGTCCCATTGATTCAGCTGCTTTCCAGCTGATTCCCTATGCTGGGGACCAGTTGGAGTAGGGTGGGTGAGCCCTGTTTCCCTGCCAGTTTGCTGTTGCCTCACCCAGTTCCCGTTTCAACACCAGCATTTGGAAATCCCAGCTCTCAAAAATCTCTGCAGGGTCCAGCTGAGCTTGGGCCAAGGAGAAGGCTCATAAATGATGATAATTTCCTTTTAAAGGGCATGGCTGGGAAGAGCAAGGGGCTTTTGGAAGCCTTGATGTGTGGGCTCAGGCAGCTCCCTGAGAGTGTGGTGGTACCCACAACTGGGAACTGAGTGTCCTTCTGGAACAGCAGCATCCAAAGCTGGAAATTATCTCCATGTGTCTGGAGATGGGCTCCTGCAGCCCAGGGTTGTTTCAGCAGCTGTTTTTAGGGGTACAGATGTGTTACTGAGGATGGTGAGAGCAGCTGTTCCACTCCAGGCTCATCTCTGGTCTCTCCAGCTCAACTGGCTCCACAATATGTTCATGTTGAGAGAAACAGTGAGGTTTGGGTAACTTGGCCACTTGGGAATGATGTAGAATGACATCAAAGATGTTTTCAAGGTGATGGTAAGTGGGAAAATGAGGAGAGCTTGGGGGAGGCTTTTAGAGCTGGAAGGAGCAAGCAGGACTGAGACTGTTCTGAGCTGTTTCCTTTGCCTGGGGGACAGTTCTTTAAGCTGGTGTGATCTTTTTATGGCCTGGAGAAAGCAATTTGCACTGCCAGAGGAGAAAGAGGTTGGCTATGGAAAATATGCCCATAATTTCTCAGCTCCCTTGCACTTCTGTCTCTTTTCTTCCCTCACTTTTCCAGCCTGTGGCTGTGCTTCTCAGGGACATCAGCACAAGATGGGACAAGGTGGGAGCCTAGTGTTCATGCTGGGTGGGCAGAGCTGGCCTTGGGCCAGTCCTTCCAGGACAGGGCTTGTGGTGGGTTGTTCAGACTGACCTCAGCCAGTGTCTCCTGGCTCCTCCTCCTGTGTGCCACCACCAGTCCCCACAGCACAGGGACTGCCTGGGTGGCAGAGCCGGATTGTGCCTGGCAAGAGCTGTCGCTGCTGTTTGCTCTGGGAGAAATTAAAACAAACTGAGCCCTTGCCATAGCAACCTTTCCCCCAGGGCACGTGACAGTGCAGGACCTCCTCACTCAACACCCTGCAGTGCCCTTGACAAGTGGGAACACCTTGTGCGTGAAAAGGAGCTGGTAACAGGTTGAACCAGCAGATTCTGCAGGGCAGAAGGGATCTGGAAGCTGAAGGAATGAGTAAATAAATGTCTCACTGTGCTTCTGGGTGTCTCACAAACATCTGGGGCTTCTCTGCACACCAAAATCCAGAAGGTGTCGGATGTGCTGAGGTGAGGACAGACAGGGACAGCCCAGCAGCCCTTGGAGAGGCTCACACTGGAGTTCCTGTGATTTCTCAAGGCACTGCCTTAGGAGCAGGGCAATATTTTGCTTTATTCAGGCCATTATTTGTCACCACAGGCTGATGTTGCAGTGGATGGAGCTGCCCAGCTTCCAAACTGTATCATAACGGAGGAGATTGCTTTGTTTCCTGGATTTTCCCTCTTTCAGTCCCAGAGCTTTGATTGATATGAATGTAAATACTGCTCCCTTTGCTGTCCCACATTCTCTCCTCCTCCTGCATTGCAATAATAAAGTCCAGAATAGATATTGTGGCTATAATTGCACAACTCCCCCACGTTCTTCCAGTTCAGTTCCAGTGGCCTAATAATGTCTTGGCAGGCTCTGCTCATGCTGGGCAGCACAATGGGAGCCACACAAGGGGGATAATGAGGGATTCTTGTGTCTCTGCTTTATCTCCTCATGGGCAGTGCTGCAGGACTGTCCCCAGCCCCAAAGCTGGGGCTTGGGAGAGCAGAATTCCCTTCCCTTCCTGCTGGAACCTTCACAAGTGGTATTTGGGTCTCTGTTCCAGAAGGCAGTGCTGACATTTCATGAGCCTCTCCCAGGAGTCCTGAAATGCAAGAGAATGATCCTTGTGGGCTGTTCTGGCCTTCTCTGCAAGTAGTTGGGAAAGGGCAACAACCCCTCATTAAAACTCATTTAATGAGCTGGAAAGTCATTGCAATGTTCCTTGGACTCAGCCTCTTGAGCCAGCCAAGAGCATTCACAGCCTCAGTGAAGGAGGCCAGGTTTGTTCAGTGACCACTTTCCCCAGCCATGGATGATACCAGGGTGGCAAACCTGTGCTCCTTGTATTTTTGGCAAAGGATAGCAAAGCCACAGAAAAAAAAAAAAAAAATTCCCTTGTCCAGCCCTTCCTCTTTGCCTTTGCCACTGAAGTTTGTGTTTCCTGTGACAAACACAGCACATGCATGTACACGCTCTGATTAGGCAGCCTGGAGCAAGCATGAAATTTGAAACAAATTTGATCAAGATTTGAGGGGGTTTATAGGAAGTTTTAGAGAATTGGACTCATCTCAAGCTGGAATCAAAGGATACACTCAGCGTGCTCTATCTTTTCTCCTTTTTGCCACAGAGGAGGAAAAGGGTTTTTGGGATGTTAACTCAGGCTGAGAGCAGAGAATATCTGCCCTCACATTCCTCTTGGAATATCCAATTGTTTTCTGTTTCCGTGAATTCTCTGGGTAGTGAGCTCATTATGCAAGAAGCATATCTAAATGTCACATCTGTGCTATGCTTCCTAATGGATGTAGCACTGAGAGTCCAAGTGCCTCTGAAACCCTCATTGCCAGGCTGTGAGCCAAAAAAATGAGCCAGATTACAAAGATTTTTATTTCTAAGACAGTCCTGCTGTCACTAGTTCTCCTGTCTGAGGCCAAAGTGAAGCTGTTTTTGTGGTTTGAAGTGGGAATCTCTCTCCAACCTGGCTCTTCCCAGCTGGATGTGAGCACAGCCCCTGTGCTCTGATCCTCACCTTTGGCAGGTGTTCAGAATCCTGCCTCTGTTCCATGGGATTTGTGAGGAACTAAACACGTTATAGTAATTGTTATTCCAGGAGTGAAATACTGGCTTTATTTCTCAGATATTCTACGTGGCCTCTTTTTTCTACACTGTCAACTACACCTGGCACCTGTACATGGACCTCAAGGTGAAATACAACCAGAACCTCTTCAGGGTGTCCCCCCAGGTGAGTGGGACTGATGTGGGATTGGTGTAAAGGCTGGGAACCCAGGGACAAGGACACAACACTCAGGAAAACCCTCCCTGCATTGCAGGCTGAGCAAATACTCCACACACCCTGTGACCAAAATCTCTCCTTGCAGTTAATTCCTTCCCCACACCTAAACAGGGAGGCACCACCACAGCCATGACCAGGCTGGGGAATAACTCAGATATTCCTGCAAGATGGCACATTCCTTATGCAGCTCTTCCCAACAAACCCATCAACCTCACTGCCCTACACAGTTTGCACAGACATTTGCTCTGCACAGCAGACTTTGTATCCCAGGTATTCCATCGGGAAGTTCAGGAGCAGCAGGCTGGGCAGATCCCCCTCAGCTGCTGAAATGCTCCCTGGAAGCTGCTTCCTGCGAACCAGGGGCTGTACAGAAATAATTTGAGATTTTTTTGGATTTTGCAGGTTGTAGATTATGCAAGTTGTGTTGGCCGAATAGCAACGATCTTGTCAAGGTAAGATTTCATTCTCCTTAGCAGAGAGTGTGGATTTGCTAAGAGTTGATTATCCCTGGCAGGAGGATGTGGATTTGGTAAACTGTACTGTGCTGATCTCTGCTTCCTACGTGTTTTGAGGCAAGTTTTACTAAAAAAGCTGTAAAGCTCATCATTAACAGCAGAGTGATCTCATGAATGCAGAGTAAGAGGGTTTTTTTCAACCAAGTTAATGATAACTTTATTAACTGGATGTGGTTTTCCAGAAGGTTTCCCTTTACCAATGATTAGCCCTCACAAATTAAAGCCCCGATGCTGGTAAAGCTGATAAAATACTTCTCCAGAGCAGTGCCAATAAAAACCACTTTAAAGTCCTCTGCAGTGATGGGAGAAAGTCCAAGCAGTGCCCAAGTGGAGCAGTGCAATAAGCCATGACTTTGCTGTCCTTTCTCCTCCCAGCCTGATCCCTTTCCTCCTCATGGTGCCGGTGTTTTGCCTGGGCAACAGCAGTAATTGCTACCAGAACTTCAGCCAGAAGCACGGGTGAGCTTCCTCCCTCCTCTGGCACGGCCCCAGGGCTGCTGGGGTTGGGCAGGAGCTCAGGCTCTTCCCTGTGTCCCACAGGTGTCTCCTGATGCACACGGAGGTGGCCGAGCCCCCCAGCGAGCCCCAGAGCCTGAGCGGCTCCGTTTGCCGCGCGATGCATTTCTACGGCATCAGCGTCTTCCTCATCTCCTTCCTCATCAGCTTCATGGCCATCCTGGTAAGGCTGCTCCTTGTGTAGCCCTTGGATGGCACCAGAGGCCAGGCAAACATGTAGCCATGGAATGGTTTGGGTGGGAAGGCATCTTAAACTCATCCAGTGTCACTCCCTGCCATGGGCAGGGACTCCTTCCACTATCACAGGTTGCTCCAAGCCCTGTCCAACCTGGCCTTCGGCACTTCCAAGGATGGGACAACCACAGCTTCTCTGGGAAGGATTTCCTCCCAATATCCCATCTAACCCTGCTCTCAGTTTTCAATCCATTCTCCCTTATCTGCTCACTCCGTACTCTTGGTGAATAGGGAAGGGGAATAACTGTGAGGTGCTGCTTCCCTTTTGGAAGGGCTGGTAGTGGAGGGAAAATATCACCACCAGAGAAATCCATCTGGATTTTGTTCACCCAACCCATCCCAGAAATATTTAGCAGAATTTCAAAGGCTTGGAGCTTGGCAGAAGAGATCACCTCCTGCACGGGTTAGCAAGAGGTGACTAATGGTTGGACTCCAGGATCTTAGAGATCTTTTCCAGCCTAAACAATTTAATGATTCCAAAATAAATTCAGAGTCTTTAGTTTAGAAAAGGCCACAAACAAAGCAACACCTCCCGCAGGATTTCAGTGCAGTGTGAAAAGGTTGGATAGACTGGGATCCATCCTGGATGAACTCAGCAGATCACAGCCTGTACAGTAACATTTGTCTTTTCTTTTCCAGGTTATCCTGAGTCAGGCCCGAGGTCTGTACAAAAGGTTTGTGAACTCCACGGGATTCCTGGGGGATCAGCAGTGGGCCATGATTAAGATGGTGGAACAACGGGTGGTTTTTTACCCCGTCGCCTTCCTCTGCTGCTGGACCCCAGGTGAGAAGAGTTCCTCCCACAGCATCCCCCTGTGGAACCCCAGAGAGGTGGGGGTTCACCCTCTCATCCATCCCTTTCCACAGCTGTCCTCCTTGGAATGCTGAAACTGACTGCCTCAACAACCAGCAAAATCTACATGGCTCTGCTGATCCTGCAGGTAAATGTCTGCCCCCGCAGCCTCCTGGGCCCTGCCTTCTCACCTTGAGTCTCCTGCCCTGTATCCTTGCTGGATGCAGCTGGACAAGGATCTCTGCTGCGTGAGCCCAAGTCTGATTTGTGGTTTTTGCTTGGCAAGGATCTTGGTTTGGTGCTTTATGTTTTTCACAGCCTTGGAAAGGTCTCAGTACCCAAAATCCCAGCACCATGACAGTTTAGTGGTGAACACGGTGGATGTTTGGACTTGGTGACCTCAAAGATCTTTTCCAACCTCAGTGATTCTGTGGTCATGGAAATCGTAGCAAATAGGACTAGAAACGATCCCCAGAAACTCTTTCTTTCCCCTATGTCCCTAAGACTCCAAATGAGATTCCTTAATAACATTTGTCCTGTGCCTGGGGCAGAAGTTAGACACTTTATTAAATTATATAGTTATTATATTTATTAAATAATATAGTTATTATATTTAAGATATAAATATATTTAACATATATTCTATATTTGCATATATTTATATTTAATTAACTTATTAATATTAATTAACTTATTAAAACAACAGCACAACTTATCACACAGAAGCTGAGATCCTGCTGGGAGGGGGATGTTTTCCAGGAACCCTGGAGCAGGGAGCAGTGCTGGGATCCCTGATTGCTCTGTGCTCTCTCCCAGGCTCTCACCGCAGCTTCCCAGGGGCTCCTGAACTGCCTGGTGTACGGCTGGACCCAGCACGTGTTCCTGGCCCTGAAGCGCGGCTCCCGCCGGGATGTGGACACGCAGACCCCGCTCCTGCGCTCCCAGAAAAAGTTCTACTCCAGCACGGCCCGCGCCGGCCCGCCCGACAGCGAGGGCTGCTCCTCCACCCTGCTCTGATGCAGCCCTGCCTGAAGGGAAGAGGGAGAGTCCTCCCAGCTGCTCGTTACCCACAGCCGCGATGGAACTGTTCCTCGGGCAGCACAGCCCGAGCCCCGGCGGGGCTGGCAGAGCCAGGCGCTCACTGGACAGAGTTATTTATTTGATGGATTCTTTCAACGTGGTCAATTTTTAGTCCAGACTTTCTCTTCCTGGAAATATCCCTAGAAATGCAGCAAACCCCATGTAACGGCTCAGAGACCTGGTCCAGCTCCTTGAAGGTTGGGCAGAAGATGTTTTACTTTGCTTTATTTCTCCAAGTCGTTGCCTTTACAAATTAACAGTAAAGCAAAATGAGTATTTTTCAATCTCTGCCTTTTAATTCACTCTAACCATGAGAATTTGCACCACCCTAAGAACCAGTTGCAGGGAGTGAAGAATTGCAAAGAAGGACAAAACCTGCCTGGAATTTCTGCATATTTCCCTTCCCTTCTTCCTGCCAACTCCTGCTCAGCCACAATACTCCCAAAAATGAGCTGCTTTGACCCTGTGGAGCATCTCCCATGAACCAGGTGAGCAGGATTTTGTCTGAATTGCTCTTGGCATTTCCACATGTTCACATGAATTATTTACTGAGGTCCCACCATTTTATAGGAAATAAACCAGTTCTTAAGCTGTGTTGGAAACAACTCTTTACCTTTTTTACACTCTTTATTTTCCAACAGCTTCACTTTTTGGGTCCAACCCAAATTTTTCTCATAGCAAGAAGAGGAAATACTCCAGCTTTGTGTAATTAACTTACACAACATAGCTGTGTAAACTCTGGGTAAGTCACACAAGGGCTGTGGAGGTTTGGTCAATGACTTATTTTTTCCTACAGAGTGAGACTGAGTGAAACAACTCAATTTTGCTGTTCTACAGGATAAAAGCAAGGTTTTTAGCAATTTCCTTCCACCTGGTCGTTCAAATCATCCTCTAGTCCCAAAGTTTGGACATGGATGACTCAATGTTTTTGCAGCCCAACTTCAAAGGCAAATACTCCCTGGGGAGGATGGGATCCATGCCCTGGCACTGGCTGGGTGTGAGCCACACTCAGTCTCATCCCTGAGAGCCTCCTGCACCCTTCCAGGGACTGACCCCATTTGTGGAGCCAGTGCAATTTGTTTAAAAGGGGATTAAGGCTTCCTAAGTGATGGAAGATTATCAGGGAAACAATGATTGGATTACTAATGGACTATCAGAGCTGGCAGTGGGTGCTGGCACAGTCCCAGGGCCCCTCAGACAGCTCAGCACCCACTCAGTGTTTGTTTGAGGGGTTTTCTTGCTGGAAAGAGCCATTCCATGGGCACTCACAGCTGGCTTGGCTGCTTTAAGTGCTCCCAGGCACTTGTTCCTACAGTCCTTTTCCCAGTCTGGATGCTCCAAGGGTCACTCTCCACCCCAGCCCACTCTGAACTCCTCAAAGGCACCAAGCAGAGGCAAATTCTCTTAAAAGGAACCTTCACACCTGTTCCATCTTGTGTCCTGAAATGCTCCCGGGACAAAGGTGTGTCTGATTCCTGTCACCAAGTCAAGCCCTGCTGGAGGACAACAAACCTGTTTCCAGAGGCAGGAGGGGTCCAAGTGCCAGCCCGAGGGTCTGTGTCCTGAAGGGTGAGGGGAAGCACTCCCTGCTCGCTGGAAAAGCACGGGGCTATCAGGGGCAGATCCATTTCTCACCACCCAGTGTCCCCCAGTCCCAGCAGGGCTCCCACTTCAACCACCTGCAAGGATCATCATCTCTGGTTCCTATTTCCAGTCACCCCTCCCTTCCCTGACTGCCCCCAGGGGTTAACTGGGAGCACTGGGCAGGAGCTGCTGCCATCTGATGGAAAGCTGGGCCTAAAAAAGGCAATTTTGGGTTATGCTGCCAAGCAGAGCCCAGGATTTCCTAGGGATTTATCCAGCCTCTCCTGTCAGTCATCCTTTCATCTCAAAGCCTCATTCAAGTGCTTATTCCCATGGATGGGGGGGGCTGGGGGGTGGCAGAATAATGGAATAATGGAATCTCTAAGGCTGGAAAAGCCTTCTAAGATCCAAAAATTAACCCAGCACCACTGTGTTCACCACCAACCACACACCCAAGTGCTGCATCCACACCTCCTGGACACTTCCAGGGAAAAGCAGGGTGGCAGGAGAATCCTGCTGCTCTTTCCTCCTGCTCCTTCCTTCCCTCCTGCAGGGATCTGGGGACCAAACAAAAGCAGCCAGGAACTTTTGAGTTTAGTAAAATCATTTATATACAGGATGGGTAATATTTACAATGTAATACTGATCCAAAAGGAACTAACAAGGAACACTGAGAAGGAGAAATGAGAACATTTTAACACACAGGAGTTAAACATGGGGACAGACTTGGGTTTCCAAAAGAAAAATCTAGAAGTAATGACAGCAAAACTTTGACATGTTGCTATTTCCAATCAAATTCTCTTTCATTAAACAGGTTCTCCTAATTTTAATATATATAGAAAAGCTTCAAATAATCAAGTCACAGGAGAAGCCAGTTGTACAGAAGATTTTGAAAAGGTCAAATGATTTCAGACATTTTTCTTCACTATTTAAATAAAATTCTAAAAAAAAAAAAACCCAAAACCCAACAACCTCCAGAGCTTTCCCACATATTTTTAGTGTTTATACAAAGAAATTCTTCTTTGATCCCACACTTCCAGCTCAAGATATTTACAATATTCACAGTCTGCTATAAAGAATCAGTAGATTTGTTACCAAGTCAAACCTCAGAGAATCAAGACAAGGTGTCTTGCACTTTCTTCAACTGAAAAATAAACTAAACACAGGAATGAGAAAGTCAAATGCTACTTTCAAACATGTAAATGAATCCATTAAAGTTATTGAACTTTGAAATGTAAAACAGAATTTTTCAGAAGTAAAAAAATCAACTTTCTCATAGAAACAAAACCATTTGACCTTAAGTCTTCAAATTTTGTTTTCCTAATCTGTCCCTCCTCCCTCTGCTTCAGATCAGGCCCTTCTTATTTATCACAGACAAGAAAATGTAGATCAAATCCATCAAAAGCAGCTCCTTGTGGTAAAATCCCTTGGAAATTTGTACAAATGTTCCCACCTCAGGATCAGCAGCACTTAAGGGATGAAGAAAAGGAGGAATCCTCTAACACACATCAGATCCCACTTTCCCCCCTGACTGCACATCCAACAAATTCTGGCTCCCAAAAAACTGCCTGAGGATTTTCCTCCTGGGAGGACAGAGTCACAAAGTGCTTTTGGAGGGGATTTTTTGCTCTGCCATTCAAACAAAGGTGATTTCCCTGTTTCCATCTCTATTTGCCACACTTGAAAGGTTTGATTTCCCAGAAAAAAAAAATATGGATTTCAAGTTCAAAAGGAAACCATTTCAAGACATGACTTAGAATTAGAGCAAGGACAGAAATGCACATAACAGTGCTTGGTGGTACAGCCAAAAAAAATGACAAAAACTCTCAATTTTGGTTAATTCTCTTCAGTTTTCAACAGGTCAGTGCACTAATATTCCAGGTAGTGTCAGAGGTACAATTCCAGCTCACACAAACATTCCCTGCCCCCATCAGAGGATGGATGAGCAGGGACTGTTCTCACCCTGCAATACATCAGGCATTGGAAAACTGTCCACAGGATTAAGGAAAGCTGACAGAGAATGGGAAACAAAGCATCTCCTTCATGTAGAAAAAACAAGTCACTGTTTAGAAAATTGTATAGAAAGAGTCAGACACTGCTTTGCCATCCAGCTAAAGCTGCAAGGAAGTTTTGGTATAGAAAAAGAGACGAAAAAAAGAACAAGGCTGGACTTTTGTAAGAGAGAACTGGGAGACTGATGGCTCAGGTTTGTCAATGTAAACCCAAAAATGGATGAGCTGTGAAAGACAACAACGTTCAGGGGTGGTCACTGATGGCCCTGGGTTGGCACTTCAGTCTGCAGACCAAACTCACCCGATGTCTGCACGGATTTGGTACCAAAATAGCTCTATAAAAAGCCTCTGCCCGATCTCAAAAGAAAGAGAAGCAGAAAAGGTAGAAAACTAGAACTATGTACAGATTCTTGCCATTGGTTTGCTGTATCAGGATTTAAAAAAGCAGCTTTTGGAGCCAATGTTCCAGACTAGAGTAAGAACCTGCCCTGGGGAGGCAGCCAAGGAGCAGCCCTGCAGTTGTGGCTCCCCCAAGAAGGAGCTCGAAGGCATCAGAGACGGGCATTTGGGCTCCAGAGACAAATCCCAGGGGTTCCCCAGAGCACTGGGAGCCTGCCTGGGAGCAGCTCTGCCAAACAAGAGGACAGGTCAGAACCCAAGCCTTGGATCTTCTAGGAAAGAAAGAATGGGAATAGGGGGGGTGGATCCCAAACAAACAAACCCCAGGCTGGTCTCGGTCCATAGAAGATCCCACCATGGAAATTAAAATAACTTGTGCATAAGAAGTTGAACATTCTTCTGTTCTACTGTTGGACAAGGTGAAAAAAAGAAAAGTTTTGTGCTGAATGGTTGATTCAGCCTTAAAAAAGCTCTGAGGAAGATGAGGAGGAAGAGAGAAGGTTAAGCCTTAAAGAAGATCTGAGGGAGATGGGGAAGACAACAAAAAAAAAAGAGAGTCACTGCTCAGAACTGAAAATTTCAGTAAGCACATGGCCTCAGGTGCCTGGGCAAGGCACCAAGCCAAACTGAAGGATATTTAATTGATTTTTCTCTACCTAAAGACCTGGAATTTAGGTGCCAAGGGGAGCTGTGAATTTGCATTTCACAGCACTTGCTTCAAGTACTCACTGAGCAGGGGCTTGAGAAACTGTGGCTCTCCTTCGCATACAGTCACTGCAGGGGCTGGATGTGGCAGGTGAAAGGCAGCTTCTGCAACTGGTTATTAAGAAAAAGAATGGTTTTTAACAATAAAATCCACCCCATTTGGGGGGCTCATGATTAACAGTACATAAGTGATCATATATACCTCAAGGAACTGAGTTTTAAAAAAATATTACAGTACCAATGATTTTTTTTTTTTCTATCTACAACTATACAGCATTTTCAAGCAGTATGGAAATTTAATGAAATAATTATGATTTATTAATTTACATAAAAATACTTTTTACAGTTAAAGAATAAATCTTAAATGGTAAAAAAAATAAGATTAAGAAGCTCCAGCTATTGAGAGTCATGGGAGTTTGTCTGCTCTTCAATCACTTGTTTGACGATTTCTGCCAGTTTTAGTCGATCCACTTTGTCTGTGAATCCTCTGCCTGGAAGGGAAAAAACAGGGAATCAGCTGGAGCTGGGCACAAGGAGGGAAGCACAGGGCAACAGCAGCACAGGATCCAAAAGGAATTACAGACCATAGTTCTGCTGGAAAAATTGAGCTGTTAAAAATGTCAATTAAAGCCAAGCAAACAGAACAGAAGCTGCTGATGCTCCTGGTCCCTTATGTCCATCAGCACCTGCTCCTGGGGGCTGACACCTCTGCCAGCCTCTTCTGTCCAGGAGCCACCTGAGCATTCCCAAGCTCCTGGTTTAATTCTGCTCCCAAGCCAAGCTGCAGAGCTGTGCTGACAGGGAGGAGCAGCCTCCAGCAGAAAGAGGGAATAAACAGCTGGATGGAAAGCAGCTCAGCACAGCTGAAGAGGTTCCTAAAAGGATCTTGGAATGGTTGGAAAGGA